AATTGATGCCCTTAGGGGTAGAATGTAAAAAAATCGCTTCTTATTGTTCACCTACGTCGTACAAAGAACGCACGCACAAACATTTAGATTTTATCGATGAGAGGATTGGGTTTCAGTGTGATTCCTATTAAATTTTTAAGGACAAAGCTATATTTAAATTTTTCTCGTAAATAATGGACCAAACTTGCAACGTACGAACGTATTAATTTCTTATGTATGTATGCTTCATTAATGCTTTAATTTACGTTTGTTTTTTTATTAATTTTTATTTTATTTTATTTTCAGGTTTTTTGATGCAGTAGTTTATTTAGATTTAGTACTTATAACATATTTTTATTTATTTTCTTGTCGTAAGTATGGTTTTCGTTCTGTTGCTCTTTTATAAATAATCATAGTGAATAAGTAATTAATACATTGAATTATATGTCATCAAATAATGTTAATCTTAAGGCGGCGCTTTGAAGGTTTTGCGTACAATGTCTTCCGTATATAAAATAGGTATCATGTTATTGGTGAAAAACACAAATATGTTACGTTGTATTACTAGTTCGATTTATTAAGAAGGAAATATGGGGTTTGCTTGGAATGTTGGCAATATTGTTGATTTAATGTGCTCTCTCTGCTTTCCATTTTGCACCGTCGTACGTGCCCCGCTATCTTGGAAAAATGGCAGCCGAAAACAGATTTTTGCAATATTTCTTGTGCATTTTAGGAGAACAATTTAAATTACTCACAATTTAAATAATCACGCAATGCAAAGAGCGCATTAAATCTAGAATATTGCCGATACTCAAAACCCCTGGCAGACATTCCAGTTCGAACTACCGAATGACCGAACTATACAGAGATACTGAAGAAAATCTTTGTTTAAACTGTGATCTGATGTTCTTTGTTCTAGCTTGACATTTACATACGTTGTGTCAAAAAACATGTACACAATACACAGACTCGCGCCTTTTACCATGAAGGTAGGCAGGTACCATAGAGTATCCTCTAACAATTCCCCCTCTTCTTCAGGTTTTTGAGTGCATTAGTGCAAATTTCATATGTACCTATTCTATCTGCGAGTTTACCTCTACTCGTATCAAGCTCTTTACAAATATCTGGTTTTTTATATAAAACCAAGTACTCCCACGCATTATCACCTGCTGCTCGGTCCCTATTGACCGTAGCTTCATGTTTAATCGTATACTATTGTATAATGTACAGCTGAAGAGAAGACGCAGTCACAGTGAAATTTAAAAATTGAGATTATTTCGTTTATTTTTAGGTGTCAATCAAAATACTTTCCCTTTAAATTGTATAATGTTTTCTGAAATCATTCCATCATGTTGTTGTGTATTCAGTTTTAAAAAATACATTAATCTTACTTACCTTTACCAAAGTCTAGGTACAAATGTATGTTTCATTTTAACGCTCCATTTACGTTAGTAAATATTTTATAAGTGTATGTTCGTTAGGAAAATGCCACTTGAGACTACCACTTCTATACAGAGGCCTAGAATTTCTCTGGAACGAAATTTAGCTTACCTAATACCTAATTTTAGTATCTGAGGCTCTCTAACCTTTTCCAGCACATACGAAGAATTTAAATCGAAAGTTTTCGTGAAATAAAAAATATAGTAGGTATGCTGTTTGGCACAGATTATTCATTACATGACAAAATTTCGTCGTCGAAAATTGTAGGTCTTCTGAATCGTTAAGAAATGTATACGCAACTAAATTACCCATACCATATTAACGATGTTACTTGTGCATATGAAATTGATTTTATTTCTTGATTCTAGAACTAGACTGCCCCGGGAACGGCTGGGGCTAAACTGTTTGACCTCACTATTTGAATTATTTTACGGAATTGTAATAAAAGTAACGAATTTAATTATTTAACTGAAATTCCATGTATGATTGTGTCAGACATGTTAGTTAGTAAGTGGTATAATATGTAAGAGCAGGCTTACATACGTGTAAAGTGAAGCTGGATTATGTGGTCGGTGTATCGTTCTACTTAGCTGCTGTGAGCAGATTGTACAAAAAAAATTAATGAATAACAGTAAAAACCAATATCTAGTGTAAAAATAATACAAGTCGTCTAACCTTTATCCTCAGGTTCGTCTGAGTTATAACTTCTTAACGACTTGTGTTATTTGAACTATGCACTTGTGATGTTACCATTTGTCAGGATTGGAAGTACATTGCAGCTATCTATAATATCATAATTTGCAGGCTGATTGTAATACAAAATGTGTGTCCAATATTTTTAGTAAGATATAACATAAAATGTTAGTAGTAACTAGGTACTATAAGTGATATTTTTTCAAAAGATTAATATATTTTATTTGTGGAAATATACATTTTAATATTGGATGTATCTCTTCATTTCTCCTTTTAGGGTTCTACAAGCCTTTTAGGGAAGCATGTTGGCGCCACCTGACGGTGGTGACCCATTTGATTCCACTTATATTCGTATCATCAAAAATGTTATTTGATGATATGAATGAATGTTACATGACTCGCGCCGCCACACTATGTGACTCGGCCGCCGCCACACGACGCTAGCGGGGCGAACATCAGCAGAGACGCAGCCCACGCAGCGACAACGACGGCCACCGTCGTAGTGCGGTAACTGCGTCCTTAAAATGAGCAACATAAACGACGCATTTTTGGTGTTGACTCTATCACTACGTATTAAGAAAGGAAAACAAGAATATGGACTAGAGAATGGCTAAAATTAGAGATAGATACACACCCACGAAAATTTGCTACGAGGAATATTGCTACCAGAACCAGAAGAATAAATCAATAAATAACAATCATCAAATTTGTAAATTTTTTTATTGCAGTGCTTCTTTTGGTTTTATCCATGTAATCCTTAGGTTTTAATATTCCACAAAACTAACATATCTAGGTAAATTGGTGTAAAAGGTAGCGTAAATTCTTTATCTGACATTTTATTCATGCTGTCGAGATTCGCGATGCTGCCATTCGAACTCGAAGTACCCGCTACGTTCTCCATGGTGACAGTCAGATCCACGATTGAGATCTTGTTTGAAAAACACAGTGGACCACATTCAAAACGTTTGTCAAACGCTACGTCGATCACGATTCCGCAAAACGTTGCGCGCCAGCCCGTTGCCCAGCCACTGCGCCAACCGTGCAGTCAGTTTAAATGATAACCCTTGGGATATTTATATTTTTGCTAGCCGTATTACAAGCACGGTGGGTACTGTAGAAGCCCTAAATAGAATTCAACATATATAGCCCCGAAATGTCACGCAGTATTAATAGAAACGTTGACGTTAAGTTTAAAAAATAGTATGATTACGTGGCTAATAGGAAGCATGAAGACAGTCCCGTATTTAAGTTATTATCTATGGTCACAGCACAGCTCGGAGCGTGGCGTCGAAAGTGACGTGACAGGTGCGCATGAGCAACCCGTAGCATTGTGCACAAAACTCGGTTGGGTATTGCATGGATGTAGTTATACTTAGGTATAACTCGGTATATAAAGACACATCGATACATTTAGCGGCCATATTAATATCAAAGATAATGTTCCTACATTATCTTTGATATTATATGGCCGCTATCTACCGCTACCGCAGATCTACTGAAAAAACCGTTAGAAAAACTTTTAAATTAGAATCATTGAGTTTAGGTATTTCTATACCTAAACTCAATGATTCTATATTCTATATCCTAGGTTCTCCTAGGATACCTACAGATGATCCTCAAAGCGAACCTTAGGCATCCTAGAACAGAAGAGTCAACGATGGCCCGAGGACAGCTTACAACCCGGAATATTGTTGATACAAAAATTACCTAAAGTAGGTAATCAACGAGCGAGATCTGTGCCTAGGTAAGGACGAAGAACGCGTCAAACATCCTGTGATTAACAACATAAAGGTAAGTGGTCCAGTACAGTACATACTTACACCTACTGTTTATGTACAACGCACCGAAGAACAATGAGACAAGGACGTGTAAGCCGAAAGCTCATCAAAAGAAATCGCCACACAGGATAACAAAGCGGCGCCTGACAACCTGGCCTTAGGATTAAAATCTACGTCGATCTGTAAATTATGTTGTTATGGGCTATTTGTATTGCAGAATAAGTAAGGTAAAGCTGAATGATTTTGTGATGGTAATTGTAACAAATTAGGGCTAGATGTGTCCATAACGAATTCAAGAAACTGAGAAAATTGGCAACACTTATTCCTTCAACGTTTCGGCGGCGACTGTCGGCGCGAACGCAGTGCCCGCTCGAGCGAGGCGTAGGCGGGGCTTCGCCCGTCAAAGGGGAGGTCTTGACTTAGTTATATGAAGACTGATCCACTTGTCTGATTATGATGATGAACAGTCACTGCACAAGTATTAGGTATATTGAGATATCTGACTATGGCAGCCCGTCACATAGATCACCTAACGTAGACTAAGTGTAGGTACATCTGCACTAGCTATAAATATACTGTCTCTTTCATCTTGACTAAAATAAGCTGTGGAATGATTTGAAATGAATGGTAGGTTTCCAATTTTCCATCCAATAAAAATAAGAATAGTATTGAGAGCGTTACGAGTGCTTATCCTAGCGCTAATGCGCTTGCGTACGAAGGTGACAATTGCTGCCCATGCGAAGGAGAAGAAAAAGAACGATAGTTCCCACTTCCCTCGATGAATTACTGCAGGAGACAGAGTGAATTAAGCCTAAAGGCACTAGAAAGAGACTACAACTGGGTGAAGCCCAATCGTCATGTGTATTGTATAGTATCAATAGTTTTGGCATGGCATGTGTCTGTGTACCATTTTTATTTCCTGAAATAGGGCCGCCTAACATAATTAATTTGGGATGCACATTGCACAATGCATTTCATGGAAAATAACAAAAAAACTTTTTTGCTTTCACATATTTATTATAAATAGTAATAATATAATATTTTTCATCTTTTTAAGATATCGATAATATTTAAAATTAACATCAAAATATCCTATATTATTTTGTAAAGAGGTAGTAATATAAAACTAGATTACGTCACACTTATACTATGTATATAATTTAATATAATATTATAATAAATAGATGGGCGTGTCTTTGGGGTTTTTGGTATGAAATTAAAAAAATATAACTATGTTTAGAGGCAGCTGCTGATGGACATGAGGCCCATGCGGGAGTCGCGGGTGACTAGGCCGGGCCGAGTGAAGCCCCGTCGCGTCCGAGGGATTGTGTGCGTGCTGGGCACACACGACATGGCTCTAACACTGCCAACAACAAACAAAATAATTATTAACATATTTTTTCGACATAAATCTAGCACTTGTCTTTGAATTTATCGCTAAAAGGCGCGACATTATATGTCACTACTCACCGTGTATCCCTCGGGCGATCGTAGGGTTGGCTGTATCTCCGACACGGAAGCTCACATAGAGAACAACGTCGTTTGCTGAAAACAAAATTAAATATATGAAACAGCTGTAAATATTTTACCTCTTTGCTTCACACTACAATTTTCTCCTATCTCATGAGCCATGGATGCGTTTACAATACAAACAATAAACATACAATACGAACATACAATTTCACATACCTACACATGACACCTAGACCCGGAACAACAAATTGTGGGTCACACAAAGTGTTGTACTGTGCGGGAATTGAACCCGAGACAGCTGGTTGTCCAGCCAATAGGCATGGCGACTATTTTTTAATTTTTTGTCCGTCTTTTAGATATTTTAAAAATCTTCGATACGTATTTTTTCTTTTTTCTCGTATCCAAAAAAACATGTAGATATTTTGAGTTAAAATGACGCGTGACGTCACAATTAGGTACGATTTCTCCGTAAGTGTGACGTCAACACCCCCCACTCCCTAACTTTAATGCGGAATAACTACGTATTCTTCTGTTAATTTGATAAAACAAAAAATACGTGTCTGATATTTTCGTGCGATCTTAATGACGGACTAATTACTTTTTTGATTTTTTATCCTGTTGACACGCCTATTGTCAACCGCGCAGTTATGTCAGTCTGCATTTAGAACTTTTCTCGATAAGAAAAAGAGTTTTGTATTGAATATTTGAATAAGTACCTACCTACGAATACTTTATTTGAATATACAAAATACGTATGTATATTTATCACTTACTCCTTTGTGTAAGCCTCGTGTGCTTCGAGTGAGCGCCGGTGATAATAATGGTACCGGGACGGGGCTGATTCGCAGGAGCATCGCCTAAAATTATAATTTCAATAAATACCTTCATCTAAAAGTCCTTAGTGATATTAATAAACGTGACTAAAACGACGTACCTAGGCGGTATGGGCACACTCCTGACGGACTCAATACTTGATAGGAAATCTGTTAAGGGACGGTTGTCTGTCGGGACGTGCACGGTCGCTGTGTGCTGCCTGAAAATTAATTCATGTTAAAATATTCGCTATAGACTTTAAGGCACAAAGGACTTATTGGATATGTTTCGTTTTAGGTATAAAAATAGCACAGCATGAATGACGACGCAACTAGGACAGCTGTATATTTCATCTATGTTAAAGGTACGTGGGTCGCAATCGCAATAAAAAGTAAACCTTTGCTGCTTATGCATGACGATCTCGAACTTTTTCATCGACAACAATAAATCAATACCTGATGTTCAAAAATAACTAATTATAATCATATTGTCCAGCTAATGAGTTTAAAATAACGACGATGATTTCAATATAGTAGTTTCCACTTCCTTTACTTTGCAATTTTTTAATTAGGAAGAAAAATAAAAGTGACAGCATACGACGCATAGCCGAGTATATAATTAATTAACAAGAAACCGCTGCGATAGCACAAATTCATATTTTGGCATTTGCATTCAGTGGAATTGCAATGGTCGCTTTTGCTAAATTTTTCATAGCACCTCACATTAACATTTTCACCGCCACGACCGCTATGCCCATTAACTGTCAAAATCGACGCCCACGCAGGCTTCGCTGAACGCCGTACGGTCATGAGATTTTTATTCAAACATTACTGAAAGCAATACATTCGTAAATTATAATCAAGTTTTACGCAAAAGAAAAATTTATAAAGATAATTATTTTTAACATAATAAACGAATTTATTTAAATATTGAAATATAAAATGAAAGTGCTTGCAGTTTCATTTATTTCAGTAGAATGTGGAACGTGGCGGTCAAAGGTTAACAAGTGAGTGACGAGTTATAGTTAAATGGGAAACTCAATCTTATACGCAAAATAAAAAAGTTGAAAAACTAAATTCTTACTATGTGTAATTAATAAGCCATATAAGATATAAGAATATTAGAAGATCATAATTATAAGAAGCGCCTATAATACCAACTATAACAATTTCTTTTCGTTCTTTCTTTTTAAAAACGTTGCCCCACATTAGGATCTTTTCCTGTGTAGTGGGTGCGTTTACAAACATACAAGTTCACATACACATGACACCCAGACCCAAAAGAATTTGTGGATCACACAAAGAGTTGCTCCCTGCGGGAATCGAACCTGCTGCACGTTGCGCGGCAGCCAGTTGTCCACTGTCCGACAGTAACCGTGCCAACGGCGCAGTCAAAAAAAGAAAACAATTATGGTTGGGTTGCTTTAATTTTCCCAAAATTCCATCATCTAATCATCATAGGTCATAGGACAATATGAGCATGGCGCCATCTATGAAGTACCAACCCTTTCACAGAAAGCCAGAAAGATAACAAACCAATATTTTTTCCAAATCCATAGATCGTATTTTAATGATCATTGAACGCAGAAAAAAAAAAAACGAAAACACGTTTTTAATCATAATTATACATAGTTATATCCTCGTCATTTGGGGATACAGACGCATAGATGATGAGCACAAACCTGATAATAATTATGTCAACCGATACGTAGTATCTACATAGCCCAAGGTTCCATCAGCCGCCTTCCGATGCCAACATCAAACCAACTCGATGGTACCATGATATGCATGGTCCTTTAATGTACATACATAACTATATTCACAAAGATCATGACGACACCACATTCAAAGGGTGTGTACCTCTAATTCAGATTCTTAGATTGTATTTCTATATGCACAACATGAGTACTTACTCTTCGTAGTGACTGGGCCCTGCTTCTATTTCAGACCAGTTAACGTTGTTTGTGGATGACGGTCTATCCCACTGCCTCACAGTCATGGGGATGTCATCCATTCGAGGTATGTCCGATATTGTTCTGTAATAGTTATACATAGTAGTCTTAACCAATGTGTCTATGTTGTCAGTAGGCTGCGCGACATCGCCGTGACCGCGGACGCTGCTCATAAGGAAGCACCTCTCTATGATTCGTAACTAGTAGAGCTTTTCTCAGTATATTCACATGAGTAACCCGCGATTTTTAGTTAATTTAGTGTCTATTTTGATTGGAAGTAAATGGAATGGAATCATATATGTTAATAATAACGTCTTTTAATCTCCGAAGCAAAGGCCAGAAGTGTGCCATTGACAATTTGTCACCCGCTTTCACTTCGGACCAGTATTGTTGGAGACTAGTGCGGTCAGACAAACACGGTCTTCGGCTTTATAGTTACAGCCTTCCAGGGTCTGTGCTACCACCGACAAAAATTTTATAAACTGAAAAATACCCCCTTTGCTAACACCTCGCCCAAATTAGGAATCGAACCCATTATCCAAGGACCCTTCACTTGGCAGTTAGGAATCACTTGAGGCAGTTACAATACATCAGTCATCAACAGCCTATAAATGCCCACTGCTGAGCAAAGCCTCTTCTCACACGGAGAAGGTTAGAGCATTAATCACCACGCTTGCTCAATGCGGGTTGGCGATTTCAAACTTATAATTAGAAATTATAAGTTCAGGTTTCCTCACGATGTTTTTCCTTCACCGTTTGTCAGTGGTGTCTAAATAATCTTAGAAAGTACATATAACTCGGAAAAAGTCACATTGGTACTTGCCGTTGGTAGGTTTCGAACCCGCACCCTCATGCATGAGAAGTGGGCGTCTTACACCTCCGGGCCATCACGACATCAATACATCATTGTAAGTAATGTTTTTCTTTAACAAGTTTTCTATTGTAGCTTACATTATATGTCTTGTCCTGCCCGAATGTTGCCGCTGATGTTGTTGCCGCCATCGTATCACGCAGTCTGATTGGTCCCATCGCTTTTTCACGGCCTTCAAGACCTGTAAGGTGGTTTGTTAAAGATAATAAAGAAGTTTAATACTATGATAGATAAAAGTTATAACGAAACAGCATAATGTTGTCTGTGCCTTTACTAACGTAGAAAAGGGAATATTGAGTAGTGGAGGATGAATCCATATATTGGGTAAACAGCTAATTATTGATAGACAATGTGGAGGGGCCTCGATTTACAAAATAAAGATCACCATTCTGTTCGTCTTTTTTTAAATCCAAAGTATCATATTTACTGTCCCTTTCTCAATATTCTTAGAACTACAATTATTTTCGCTAGACAAGTGTTCTGTCTAACAACATGGATCGCAGCTTGAAAGTACTTGTTAGACGCTCAGAGTGTTGAGGGACTATCTTTATTTCCATAGCGGTATGACATTATGCAGCTGACAAAAGACTAGTTGTTCCATACAAACCGCAGGGGTTACATCTGAATATCTGTGGTCCAGAAAGTCAAAATATTTTTATAGAATCTAGTTTTAAAATTGAGGTAAAATGAGATTACAATACTAGCAATTTGTGTGTAGAGATAGCTTAGTTACTAAATAACTATTTTGAATAAAGCGATTACGAAAAGAACAATGTTCTTTAAAATGCTTCTTTAGATGATTGTTAGTTAGACATTGATCCTACTTATAATAACCTGTCTATCGAAATGTTGACTCACCTCATCATTGGTAAAACAATAGATTATACTTATGAAGAGGCCTTGGAATGAGCGGAAAAAGTGAGTGACGTAAGCCCAGATCGCAAATCCAATCGATGATCCTTCCAAAGGGTATTCGAACAAGTTAAAGATGTTAATAATTCCCAGGAGTGGCAGCAAAATTAAAGTAGCTCGGATCGCCTTCCTGCAAACAATGAGAGAAAATATTAAACACTTGAATATCAAGTAAAATATGAGCGTTATTTCTTTTCTATTCTTTTGCTACTTACTTAACTTTCTCGAGTTCAGAGTCATTTGTTCTCCTAAGTTTCGTGATGATAACAGCCAATACAGTAACCAGGAAAATAGTGTTAATCTGTGAAACAATCATATTGTAAGTAACAGATATTTTTAAGAGAGTAACAGTAAAATGTTGATGATATAGGTACATTTTTCTTTTAACAGTAGGTAGGTAATGTACCGATAAATTTTTGCGGACGGGGTCGCATTGTATCGAAACCCTTGAGTCTGAAGAGAGCCCGAGGATATTTTTATGAGGTCATGGCTAAATCACGAGCCAGATATGGGTGGGCTGGATGATAAAAATCGTAAAACTTATCGGGTCAACATGCACCACTGCTAAGTTGAGTAAAAATTAATAAGCCCTTTAATTAATGAACTAGTCTTTCTTATGGGACAAGCACGCCAGAACCTCCCAAAACCGCTGCAACTCCTGTAGGCTAGGATCTATAGTAGATACAACCATGAAAGCACCGGAACACTGAAGTCCGGCGCGTCCCAGGGACATGACTAACTGTCTTGGTCTCCCACAAAGAAATAAATCAGAAGATATTAAAAGAAGAGAAGAAAAAACGATAGTTTCCACTTCCCTCGGTGAATTACTGCAGGTAGTAATCTGTTTACTTATCATAATTTGATAACGTAGTATACTAGGAACTTCTATATTTCTGAAGGTGATTCGACCTCTAATGCTAGTTGTAGTTCCAACGTAACCTAACCTACTATTCTGTAAATCCTTTAACTCTTCGTCTAACAGCCTGAATGAGATACTCAATGAACCGTCTAGTCATACAGGCTGGTACTTAAGTGTCTGACACTCCCTCTGAAGAGAAGTCATTCGATGATATTCCCCCTTAAAAAATACAGGCTGTAACTTAAACTGTCAAACACCAAGCGGTCACCGGTGACCGCAACCTATTGTTCTATAATTGTGTCTACAAAAGCGGTACTCGACGAGTTAAATGCCTAATTGAGCTAGTTGCTTGCGACATATAAACTATCAAATTTGAAATTAAAGATCTAGAAACACCTGGGTGTTTACTTTGAAACAATCAAATCAATCAACAACAGGTTTCAAACCTAGTTCAGGCACATGGAATAACATAGCAATAAGAATATAGAATTAAGACATACGAAATTTCTGTTTATATTTTTATTTTTTTGAATAAATGATTTATTATTATTATTATAATCTCAATTCCAACTCAATAATTATTAAATGTCAAAACTTTACAACCCCTATTTTAGCTGTTAAAATAGCATTCAGAGTGCGGAATATAAAGCCAAACTCAATACTATTTAGTTCATTAAATACCCACGCAATACGGATGCAATGGGTGCTAGTGTGGAAAACTCAGGAGCTCGAAACTTCACAAGATCAATGTCGATCGATCGGAATTGGAATCAAGAGTAAGCCCACAGATATGGAATCCATAGCAATACAAAAAGCAAAACCAGTTTATTTTTATATGAAGAATCAAATATTGTTCAGGTTTGTAAATAATTACGGTATTATATGCCTGGTAGGACGTGTACTAAGTAACATACGAAAGTGGGTCACATTGTATTCAGTTACAAGATTTTTTGTTGGGCAAAAGAGGCTACATATGATTTTGGAGGATATCCGACGAGGATATTTGAAGATAGACTACGGAACTTCACGTTCGTGATCAAAGGAAAGCGAGAATACAAGTAGATAAAGTTTTAATGTTTCACTCTACAGCCAAAGGAATAAAAGGGATATTGTAAATACATTAGTTAAAAGTGATTTTTTACTAATTAGGTACAATGGTGTTTCTTTGGTGCTATCAAAGGAATTTAGAAAAATAACTTATTTAGGTAAGTATTTTATATAATAATACAACATAAATCACGCCTTTTATGCCCGAAGGGGTAGGCAGAGTTGCACGTTACGGCTCTTAATGCCACGTTATGAGCCCCATTTAATAGGGAGTGAACCTATTGCCATATACCGGGCACCAGTTCAGACTCCTACTATTAAGAATTAACAAAAAATCCCAGTAATACTTCGCCCGATATATATGTGCCCCGGAAATCGCACCCGAGACCCCATTCCCGACAGTCGGACTTGCGACCAATCGGCCTACGAGGCAGTATTTAATATTTATATGAGGATGATAATTATCTATAATGTAATTAAAAATAATTAATTAGGATACTTACAATCAAGATACCCACGATTGGTCCATTGATGATATAGTAGGCCGGGAGGTAGTTGTAGCCGAACCAGCACCTGTAACAACAGCTTTATCACAATTCTGCCACACTTCTTTATAAATAGTAATGAAATTTCTCAAAAAGCGTTTGTCCAGCCTAAGCGTTTGATAAACGTATGCGCCGCGCAAACACCGCGACTACGCGTCGCAGATGCCGCGTTGTCGCGGTGTCAGTGCAATGTTAAATGAATACGCAGCGTAAGCGCTGATGTACGCTGCGCATATATTTATCGAACGTTTTTTTTTTTTTTTTTTAAGGGGCGAAAATCATCGAATGACTGCCCCCGCCTGGGTGAGGCGGGAGGGAGTGTCAGACTCTTACTGACTAAAAACCACCCCGTTCCTTCTCCTGCACGTCGAGCCGGAGCCCCGGTTACCCGTTAGGTTCTCCGCGACTCCGAATCGGCATCGGCCGTATTGGGCCCCATCTGTGGTGGTCTGATGGCTCTTTGAGGCGCGCGCGGAACGCGACGCGCCGTACGCTCGGGTCTGTTTCTGGTCGGACGGGGAGCCACCCATGCTCGCCGTCCGCAGGCCCGCGCTTACGGTGGCCGGAGATCGTCCCGCGATCCCCGACGCCCGGTGTGTCCTTCGCGATGGCTGGGTTGCGAGGAGGCAGCGCTTCGCTGCCTCACGCGTCCCGCCTCCTCCTTAGCTAGCATGACTGCTTCGCAAAAGGAGGAGACGGCATCCCAATCCCCCTCGCTCCGCATCATGGCCTGCACTAGGCCCGGACGCGAGAGGTCGCCATCGCCGATCACTTCCCTGAGGACACGGCGGTGCTCAGCCCACGAAGGGCATTCTCCCACCGTGTGTTCCACCGTGTCCTCAGGGCGGTCCTCGCAGTGATGACACCCGGGCGTTTCCTCCCGCCCCATCAGACACAGGTACCTCCCGAAACTTCCATGTCCGGTGAGGACCTGCGTCAGGCGGTAGGTGAGGACGCCGTAGCGTCTCTCAAGCCACTCCTCAAAGAGGGGACTTACCGCTGCGATGGCAGCGAGCCCAGCCCTCGGTTGCGACAGTCGTTGCTGCCATTCCGCCATGAGATCGCGCCGGAGCTCATCCCGCCACGCACTTATCTGGCGCGGCAGCGGAGTTTCGCCCCGGCGACGTGCCTCCGCGCGCATGCTGTGCACGCGCGCGAGCACCTTCGCCTCCAGATCCCACGGCGGTAATCCGGCAAGGAGGTTCGCCGACTCCCCAGAGATCGTGCGGTATCCGCGGATCATTCGGATCGCCATGACCCTCTGTGCCATGAGCAGCGTCCGAGCGGGACGCCGCAACAGGTTAGGCGCCCAAACAGGGGCGCCGTAGAGGGCCATGGACCGCACGACCCCGGCGTATAACCTCCGGCAGGAGGCGTTTGGCCCCCCGAGGTTGGGGAGGATGCGTTTAAACGCAGCATTTATCGAACGTTAACGCTACACAAACGCTAGTGTAACTTTGCTCCACACTAGGATTTTCTCCTGTGTCGTGTGTGCGTTTACAAACATACAAGTTCACATACACATCACACTAAGACCCGAAACAACAGTCTGTGGATCACACAAAGATTTGTTCCGTGCGGGAATCGAACCCTCGTTTCGAACACGTTTCGCGGCAGCCGGTTGCCCAGCCACAGCAACAACCGTGCAGTCCAACGAATATTATACCACGTTATTTATTGGGTATTTCAAAAAAGTCAAAGGTCAAGGCATTTATTTAAATTAATCCTTAATTAGATACTTTTGAAACGCTATAGATAGCTTTACTTACGTGTTAAATCTTTCTGCTGCAAAATGACGTCCTGTCAATGTTGCCCACATTCCGACAATGAACGTAGGTATCACCCATCCCCCGAAATAAAAGTATATCACATTTATCTCATTGCGGAGTGTGTTGGCTGATATCATGGTGTTAAGAAAAACGCCTTCAATGAACATCCAGGAATACACGCTGAGACGAGCATACTCCAATAACACATATACGCCCTCACATACATATGGCTGAAACAAGAGTTACCAAAAGTTAAGTGAATATTATGTAAAACTACAGCTTTTTCAGGACAAAGGTGACAAATTGTCAAATAGAAATTTATTGTAGGAGGTATTTGTTAAAAAAATACTTTTATTATATTGAATGGTCATCAAGGTTAACCCCTTATCTGCCATATGAGACAATAGAAGACACATTCTGTCTCGCGTATATTTATGTTCCGGCGGCATACCATGAGTTAAGAGTGTGTGTCAAATAACAGATCAATCTGTCAGTAAGGAGTAAGGGGGTACAATTACCTAGTTTGACCTAAATAAACAAACGGAGCAAAATATGTAGATAAAAGCACTTAAGTCGTGGCGGCCCGGAGGTTTAAGACGCCCACTTCTCATGCATGAGGGTGCGGGTTCGAAACCTACCAACGGCAAGTACCAATGTGACTTTTTCCGAGTTATATGTACTTTCTAAGATTATTTAGACACCACTGACAAACGGTGAAGGAAAAACATCGTGAGGAAACCTGAACTTATAATTTCTAATTATATGTTTGAAATCGCCAACCCGCATTGAGCAAGCGTGGTGATTAATGCTCTAACCTTCTCCGTGTGAGAAGAGGCTTTGCTCAGCAGTGGGCATTTATAGGCTGTTGATGATGATGATGAAAAGCACTTAATAATGACAATTATTTCCCTAGGCTTTAAACTCAAAATTGCTCCCAATTTTACAACAATGCTTTATTTTTAAAAGCATACTAATGTTGTTAAACATTGGCACGTTTTCCTACGCGCTTCGCAGGCGCCTACATCACTTCGGCAGTACTGTAGCCCGTGGAGAGTCACTTGTGACCAGAATTTGTCGGGTTCAACATTTCAAGTGGAAAATCTGAGTCAGCAAGATTACACGGATTCCTGAAGTACCCTCCAGTCACTGCGGTGGTCGGCCGTCAGAACTTTGAATATAATAAAATTAATTTGAAAATCTTAAGAAGATAGCTCTCTAGGTCTTTTGCTAGATGACCCCTATCTAAGGTTAGGGTTTCTAATTACTAAGTAATATGAAGTACCTAACTTAAAGACTCTATTACTTTCTAATATGATTACTATTATGCATAAGCGAGTGAAGTGCTGAGGTTGATAATGTGATGAAGATTGAGCTCTGTAAAGTGCTATTGGACTGATTCTGATGATGAGGACGTGGGTAGATGACATTGGTATGACTTTTAAAATGTATCCCGAGTTCTAATCAGTCATTGTCAGATTTGTGTGAAAATACCTTGTCGGTTCTTCCGATACTAGCAGGAACAATAGGGGTGACGAGGATCCTGAGGCCTGAGTTTGTGTTACGTTTAATGAGGTCGAAACGAAACCGCGTTCGACGCTTTAATTGGTTGGTCCATTGGAGGTCGCGGTCGAGGTTGGTTGGACAGGGTCTCATTTCGATCTTCTTAAACGTCAAACAAAGTACTAAGCCCTCTGCCAAGGACGTTGAAAAAAGGCAGTCATAATATTACTTAGAAATGTTTGAGGCACTAAAATGTCAGTGGTGTATTTATGTGTGCGTATACTTGCAACACTGTAATGTATGAAATGAAATGTAGGTGTCACGCGACAGATGTACTTCGTGTCGATGTGTAAGTCTATAGTAACCAGGTGCTTCAGTTGCTGTTTCGAGAGTCCACCTTTTTTCCACGTCCTTGCTCTCTGTTAAGATAAGATGTTTTGGGTATATTTTTACTCACCAAGTTTTCGATTCCCTTTCGCGCGTTTGCTACAATGGTCCGTTTGTCCAGCATGTAAGCCTGGGCTTGTTGCGTGTACAGTAACATTCTGATAGTAGTCTCCAAAAGCAGAGCACAAAACAGATTCCTATGTATTAAAGTCCGTCTGTTGTGGAGAGATCTGTTAAAAGAAAATAATGGTAACTTATAAACCTAACAGTATAGGTTTTTATTTAAAAGGGTGGTTTCCTAAATTTTATTTTAATGCCCGTCTGGAAGATAAATTTAAAACATAAGACATGTATTTTTTTTTTCGACGATATATTAATTTGAAATATCATGTGACGTCACTACGTGCTACATTTTTACCCCTGAATTTGACTCCATTTTATTTAAGTATTGTGACTTTATACGAGAAAATAAAAAATACGTGTCTAATATTTTTTCATTATCTAACTCACGGACAAACTAGATATTTAATTTTTATACCCTGGCAACTATTTTATTGGTGATTAACAGATTCATTTTTTAAACCAGCAAACCGATCGTCTGTTTGCAAACAATTGGGGCTGCTTATGTACATCCCTAACACCAGAGGAGTTACAAGTGTCTCTTATGGGTTAAAAATTTGGGGACTTGGTATTAGGGATTTGGGAAATGGGACTTAGGGATTTAGGGACTGGGGATTTGGGATTGGGTATGAGAGATGTGATATGTGTCCATAATAAATAGATAAACTGCCCTCGGAACTGTTACCTACTTTATTGTAGCGCTTTGAAGGTTTTAAAAGATAATTTACGGTCAATCACAAAGAAGTTTATTTTACACAATAAACAATCATTTTTTTAAAACCTTGCCCCACGCTACGATTTGCTCTTGTGTCGTAGGTGCGTTTATCAATGTACAATTTCACATGTACATATGACTCCCAGATACCTAGATACCTAGCACAAAGAGTTGCTCCGTTCAGGAATTGAACCCACTTCGTTGGACGGCGGCCGGTTGCCCAGCCACCGAAACTAACCGTGCGGTCAAGATACAAGGTAAGTAAGTAAGTAGCCCCTACAAAATGCACTTTTAAGAATAATGATACATAAATAATGATACTTACGGGAAAGCGCTGAAAATGTATAGAGACAGCATAATACCAATAATTGACAGCACAATCCCTATCATCTCCACCATTCTTGTATTTACAGCAGTTTCAAATTTAAGCTGAAACAAAATTAAATTGATACATTTAATACGAAATGATGTTAAGTCCAAGAAACTTGAACTGAATCGTTACTCACGTAAATATGCTGAGAAAAGCTCTACTAGTTTCGAGTCACAGAGGGACGCTTCCTCATGAGTAGCGTGCGCGGTCGCAGCGATCTCACGCACCTACTCGCGAGAAAGAGCTTTTCTCAGTATATTTACGTGAGTAGCTCGTCATTTTAAGTTAAAACTTATTATTAATCTATACCTGATGGTAAGCAATCAGCGCCGCCCACAGACTTGGACGATGAGAAGACTTTAATTATTTCGGATATCGAAACCAGAAACATCTTTAGCTGTAAGTCACTTCACAAAATCACAACTTTGGGTAAGTTTGCCTGTTCGCATCCACTGAAGTTCGCCTGCTTCCGTCTATTTTACGGATCGCCAAGAAATTAAGGTAGGTACTCATAACATAAAAAGGTTAAATATACATAATATGTTACATCGTTTCGCGATTAAAACTATAACCATAGTCTTTCTTTAGTTTCTTATTTTCGGGATGGTAAAAGGGCCTTTCATAACATGGACGCGAACTAGTGGTTGTAAACGAACAGGCGAGCTTAATTTCTTTCTATACTTACTTTACTTTGTTCGAAGATTTTGGCGACAGCATACCGTGTTACCTTTAAGACTGACTTGTAAATCAAAGGAATAATTAAAATAAAGAGCAAATTAACTATGGTTTCATTAAGCATTTAAACATGACTTTGTAATCCACTGTCCCGCGTTTCAATACCCGAAGGCGCAGGCACATGAAGAGGTCGAATCAAGGCTAGACCTTACTACTAGGCTGCGTTATGTCGTGTCGTGGCAACGAAACAACGTATTATACGCCCCACCAGGGTTGCGACGACACACGTTATCGCAGCTGCGTCTTAGTTCATCCTTCGCAAACTACTATTCGCAATGGATAAAAACAAACTTGATGACTATCCGTTCTAGCAGCGCATAACCCTAGCGCATATCCCACTCCGTCTCTTGTCCGTTGATCTGTGTCTAACGGGGCAAGTAATTAAAATATATGGAAACCGACGCTGTGACTTAATAAAGAGCAGCGCACTACGATAATGAGGCCTCGGCCTAATACTTCAAACATCGGGAATTGAACCCGGTATCCTTAGATTGGCAGTCGCACTTGCGACTACTCGATCAAAAACTGAAATTCGTGCGTCCCATTAACGACTTACCTTAATTATCTCTCCAGCGAACCATAATCAATTTTGTTTAGTTGACTGTATATAACAATAATAATATTATGTTCATGTTCATTATAGATTTTTGTTAATTTTGTGTTAAATTGGTTTATATCGTAATACTCAAACGCTACTCAATTTTAAGTCGCGCTTAATTATGGTTCTGTCCTACATTCTTTGTTAAATAACAGCAATGGTACGATATTTACGAACAACTTAAATTGAGTAGCCTCTCAGTATTTGGGCGAAAGAAAACTTATCTATTTTAACCATGCTTTGTAAGTAACGTTACGTGTTTGTATAGAGTTGTTAGGTGTACAATGTAGTCTTTACTTGTAGGTACACTAAAACATACCTGAGCCTCAGATTTATCACCAACTTTACTCAAAAGATTTTGTACAGCTTCAGGAAAACATGGAGTATAGTTCGTCCAACCGTTAGAAGATGTATCATTAATATACCGCCCAACCCACAACCCATCCGCACCGCACCGCCTATACGCTTGCACTAAATAAAGGGAAAAGTAAATAATAATAATTAGTAAATAAAACAGGAAGAAATCAAATTTATTATAATCATGCTCAGAGGGTGAAGACTAAAATGAAAAAGGCATAAAGACAGAAAACCGAATCAAAATTATAGGATACAACGTGAAAATAAACACAATAGATAAATCATAACATACACAGTAAACGACAAAAAACAAAAAAAAACAAAGCAATGAAATATCAAGAGCCACAAACAAAAATAAGAATTCTGTGCCCACTAAAACTAGTCTAATCGAAAGAATAGAAAATTAATGTGTCTGACACTGACATTCGACAAAATATGTCAAATGTCATGTCAAACCCATAATTGTCATTTTTAATCTCTCAATTCGATTAGCGCTCTTGCTATCTCTCTAGGAGGGCTATTAGTGATATTTTTCTAGAGATCATCTATATCACTATTGAGTCACTCTCACCATATATGAATGCGAATGAATGAGGTATATGAGTTCGTTAATTTCTATCACAAGACGCACGAACATGCAAACTAAACATTTGTTTTTTTATTAAATTCGGCTAAAGTCTCAGACGTCGCGGTCTTCACGTGGATAGACGATGATACATTTAGATACCTAATTGTGGATGAGATTAACAGCCCCTTCACACTAGCATTTTTCTATCGACGTACGCACCCCGCAGACGTTTGTCTGTCCAGCGCATACGTTTATCGAACGCTGAACCACCCCTAGTGTAAAGGGGCTCTTAGATTAAACAAATGGTGTTTCTGGGTATATACCTATACACCTATACACCCAATATAGGCCTATCGGAGGCCCTCCCTGCACTTGTGCATAGGATTACGTTAAGCTCTTAAGCTTTAAGTAATCCTATGCTCGCCTATCTCAACAAGTCACATTTCGAAATGTTTCACCTAATCCTCAATGAAAGCAAGAACTGTAACTGAACAATATTGCTTGTATGCCTAATTAAATGTCGGTTCCAATAACCGATGGTAATTAGAGGAATCTAGATTAACTAATCTTGATTTTTCATAGAAACTTAAAAAAACGAATTTTTAAGAAACTAACTCAAAAGTCAATCTTAATCAAAAGATTTGCGTATTGAAATCGGCGTAAGTCCCTATATTACAATAGGAACTGTTAATCATTTTCAATTCTAGTCTAGCTCTTGAAATTAAATATTTATACGATAAACTCAATTACACTGCTATCAATAAAGTACGTGTAATTCCGAATGGAGATCTTATTTAACCGAAATATCTGAAGTAACATACGAGCCCTCAAAAAGTTTTTCAATTCCATAGTTGAAGATACCTGAAGGACATCCACGTACATATTGGCAAAGTTGAAGCAAGTCATGTTACTATTTTAGTGAATTTATTTGCATAAGTACTACTTGAATTTTATAAACTGTGTCAAACTATGTAATATTGTCAAAAAATATCTATGTAGGCTTGGCTTCATCATATTGCACATTGCGATATTTGCCTTAGTGTACACCATTCTGAGTAATCCTTTTCCTTTGTATGGCCCTGACTATCATTATCTTCATATTTGAGTAATTCCAGATTTTTTCTTGGGACTAGAAAACTCAACCCATCTATTAATGATTATTGTTAACTCAACTTTAATTTTCAACCATTTTTATAGTAATGTGAAACCTGAAAATTATAAAATAGATTGCAACATCACAAAACCTATCACAGAGCCTAGAAATATTTTGGTCTTCGATTTATTGTGAGGTCTAAAGGGCAGGTGAGCAGTTGAATTAAAACAACTGAAGACATACACCTAGCAATATCACTGTTTGCATACTAAAACGTCACGAGTGAAACTACGCACAGTACGTACAGCGCCAGCTCCTCAAACGACCCAACACTGTCTTCCAACAAATTCTCAGCTTTATTAGAAACTAAGAAAGTTGAAGATCTGTTTACAAAAATACAGATTGGAGTAGTCTGGTGAGCGTCTGGACTAAGAAAGGCGTGACATTGACGGCTTCAAACCATGCGTCAGCTGCTAGACAGCCGTTACTTACTTGATGTGTCAATCAGATAGAAGCTCGGGCACGTTTGATACGTGGTTTCACCAGCAGGTGTCGGAGGCCAGCAGAGGTAACCATCATAAGTTGCGTTGCAGTAAATAGTATCTGGGAAATATTATGGACATTAAACGTAGAGTGGACCCACTCTATTTCCTTATTATGTCTTTTAATTTTCGCCAAGTTATTCAGTTTGAATGAAATACTTTTGCATTGTATGCTAATGCTAGTCGTGTTAGGGTGGTTAAAATCTAGAACTAAGTCTAGTCACAAGACGACAAATAGCAAGCTTTTATACAGAGCAGTATGTGATTAGAGTGTTTGTGTAATTTTGTTATGTGACCGTGTTGTAACGCGCAACGCATATTGACGTGATCTACAATATATGTAGGCACCCCATAATACTGAAACATAATTCGCTTCGGCTGCGTACGATATCAACGCTACATAGGTACGTACCTAACTGGCGAAGTGTAGTGTGTGAGTGTTTTGTACAAAGATTTTCTTATGAAACCTTACACGAGACTGCTCCAATGAGTCTCAAGATTTAATAGATATTTGGCATGTAGTCGGTAGTTTGAAGCCTGTAGAAACGATGAAGGAAAACATCGTGAGGATACCTAGACTTGTAATTTCTAATTATAAGTTAGAAATCGTCAACCCACATTGAGCAAGCGTGGTGGTTAATGCTCCAACCTTCTCCGTATAAGAAGAGGCCTTTGGTTCGTAGTGGCCACATAATTATAATGCAATTAATGGTGATGATATTTATTGAATTATTACTGTAGTTATACAGTTCAATCTGATTTTATAATAGTATTAGGTGTTAAGCACAAACACTCGAACGGATTAGTGTAAGCCCGGATAATGACGAACGAACATGTAATTAAAGCGCTGATGGAGAGCGCATTGATTTGTTTTCATGTAAGTTAATAGAAGATCTGATTATCTATTGAAGTTTTGATTAATAATCAAAGGTAACTAATCCTTATTTAGGCACTTTGAAAACCAGAAAAGTGAATTGTCCGTCAGTCTGTCAGTTTCGAATGGAGATGAAGTAACAAGAAATTCTATCGTTATTCTTTTTTCATAACATAACATCATGCCTTTTATCCTTGAAGGCGTAGGCAGAGTGCACATTATAGCACTTAATGCCACCCTACAATGTTTCCCTTTTTTCTACATTTATGTTATGAGTTCCATGTAATAGGGGGTGAGCCTATTGCCATATACCGGGCACTATTCCAGACTCCGTGCTACTACAGAGAATTTTATTTTAAAAAACCCAGTACGCTTTGCCCGGTAGTCGCCATAAATAATTATCCAGATTACATTGGCATAAGTAAACTAATACACTTATCACAACTTAATACAAACAAGAAAAATAACTGAATAACTAAGTATTAGTGTATTTGAATACATATACAAAAATACATAGATACAACTTTTTTCAATAGATTCTCTGCAACATGTTGGAATTGTTGACAGGTCATCAAACCCAGTAGTGTGTGGTCGACAATGAGAGGACCACTGCTGTGACGTCATACGTGTTTATGCCAATCATATTTATTTGTGGACGTTACTGTTATTGTTTTGAAACTGTTATGACAGTAACAGGTTTTGTCCCATCGTTTACATGATCGACATTAAAAAACCTGTTAATATAAATTACTATTCATGTACGTAACCTAAACTTTGCCCCACACTAGGACATTCTCCTGTGTCGTGGGTGCGTTTACAAACATAAAAGTTCAAATACCTACATGACACCCAGACTCGGAACAACAATATGTGGGTCGCACAAAGAGTTGTTCAGTGTGGGAATCGAACCCGTGCCACGTTGTTTGGCAGCCAGTTGCCCAGCCACCGTGTCAAGTGTGCAACACTAAACAGGTATAGCAAATATGTAACCCTCACCATTGCTCACAATGTCAAATATAATGTCAATACCAAAGGCCAGTTTGGTCTGTCTGATGATAGATTTTGCCTACTCTAAGTAGTTTTACAAATATTGATAGTAGCCATATGTATCGATAGATAGATCAATTATTAACTGAAGGGCAATGATTAGAATAAAATCAAGAACGTAGAAAAAGGTATGTTTTTTCAATTACGTGGACCCTTATTAGGAGATTTGTATCTAATGCTTTCTAATCTTTTGTGTATATTACAGTGTAACATATGCCACCAGTTATAATACCCAATCGAAATTAAAAATCAAACAGCTGAATTAACAGAAACCATATCCAACACCATTATGTGTAGAATGGAAGAAAAACTACAGCCGATTATTGAAGAAAATAAATTACTGAAAGCAACCGTAGAAAAACTACAGACTGAAGTGAAGCAATTGAAAGGGGAGAAAAGAAGTAAGAACATAGTGATATTTGGATTAAAAGAAGGGGAAAATTCAACCTCAGAGCTACTAAAGAAGATTAAAGAAGTGTTCCAACATGACGCACGACTAGTTATTGAAGATTGTGACGTCAATAAGGTATATCGTATTGGGGAAGCGAAAAGTAATGATAAACCAAGACCTATTCTTTTTTCCTTTGTTAGTCATATAAAGAAAACCGAAATATTAGCTAATAAAAGGAAATTGAAAGAAGTATACATCACCGAAGATTATTCAAAAGAAGTATTAGAAAAAAGAAAAGCCCTATTACCTAAGCTAAAAGAAGAAAGGAACAAGGGAAATCTTGCGTATTTAAAGTTTGATAAGTTAATAGTTAGAGAAAATAATCAGAATAAAGAAAAAAGAAAACGAGAATCATCCACTTCACCACAATACAACCTGCAACCTAGAAAACAACAAAATATTACAGCCTCAAAAACAAACAGAATAAACGCATTTGATATAATGAGAACTAGATCGAACTCTTTTTCAACTCTGTCAGGAAATAACCAATAGCAATCAAATATCGGCAACCGGACTAATACTAATACAGAAACATATAAAAACAAGACAATAAAAGAAAAACCATCAGGTCCCAATACGGCTGGTCACCGCGGGACGTCAGACCTCCACCCTCCAACTAAAGCAACATATTATAATTGTAATGATAAACAGAAACGTAATTGTCTAAAAATATACATCTCAACTTGCTGTTTCTGTTTCTGTATCTGTTGTTTCTGCAATTGTGACATCGTGTTTCATGATTCTTTTATCGGGGTTAACTAATGAGACTTGGTCAAAAGGAGTTTCAATAATAGCACGAGTTGTTATAATTTTGCTTGTTTCATCTTCAGAATCACTCGACGGAATTGAGTTTATACCTTCAAATCTCATTTTCATTAAAGATGTACGTTTTTTTTTTATTTTAATTTCTTCTTCTGAGTCCGGAATCCATGACGATCCAGAATCAGAAAAAGGTTCTTCATCTGTCGAAGGTGGCATTGGTTCGACACCCGAAATGGGACTTGACCCTCTGACTGGTGAACTGACATCTTTATAGTTGTATACTGATATGTTCTCATCTTCATTTAAATTAATTTTACTGCTACACAAAGACATGGGACTGACATTTACGGGCATAGGTGCTGATTGGGGTGGTTTAATGTTATTAGAAATCATTTCGCTAGCCATTATTGAAGCAGGAGCCGATTCGCATGTAATAATCTTAAATTCGTCATGTTCAGGAAGGTTAAGAACATCAGGCGTAATATCAACAGCGAAATTTATGTCATTGGAAACATGATTGTTAATTTCAGATGGTGATTTCTGGCATGTTATAATGTTATGTTTTTGTGGGCTGACGGTACTCTGCTCCTGTTGTTTTATCGTCTTATTTTCACCCTAAAACAATAAGAAGCCATATTGTAGGTATTTCATTACGAAAAAAGAAAAACAATAACAACTTGACAAGAGTTTATGCCGTCAAGTGAAAGCATACTCAAATCCATACCTGCTCTATGTTTTATTGAGTATTAAAAAACATCCATACAAATAAAAATAGGTAAACTGATTTGGTCACCCATACACCGTTGCTTAAACTGTCAAACACCGCGAGGACACCGGTGACCGCAATCTATTGTTCTTTAATTGTGTCTATAATTACGGTACTCAACGAGTTAATCTCGATTTAGTATTTGTTGTCGAGGTAGGAGTAGGTAGATTGATTTTATATACTTGCGTCAAGATATTATGATATGGACATGCCATTTTATCAGAGGCATATTTACATTACCTCATAAAATAACGCACTATCCTCTACGTTCGACTTCAAAGACCTTAAATCGATCTACCTACTCCGACCTCAAAATGTCAACTTTCTAGGTACCTATCACGATTCATTATATAGCCTGGTGACAAACTGACGGACAGACATACAGACAGACAGCGGAATCTTAGTAAATGGGTTCGGCTTTTACCCTATGGGTACGGAACCCTAAAAATGTTTAACAAAATTACCTAAAAAAAAAATACGCAACAAGCGAAAAGTAACTTTAAACCTTCAGCTTAAGGATCAAAATTCAAATGAAAGCAGAAGAGTTATTAACTTCTCCCACAACTTAAAGTGATTCATATTATTCAAATTAGCTTAACTTAGGAAATAATAAAAAATAATTATTTCAGTATTATGATAACATGAATCAGTCTTGGTTTCGTGGGAGATGCACTGAAGCTTTCTACTTACAAAAAAATGGTTCTAAATCATCGTAGCTACATACCTTAGATGAATTATCTTCTTGGCACATTTTCACCATAAATCTACCCCGCGAATCCATTATAGTGTAAAACTCTCACTCTAGTCACTGACGTCAACGCAATTGAAGGTTACGCATTACACTAAAATGCTTGTGACGCGAGCGATGCATCAGTCACACGCGCTGACACCCGCGCTTCCCCCCGCGCACTTTTTTGTTCCGATTCACTACAATACTTCGCGTGGCAATTATAAATAACTTAATCTATTTGATTTTATTTGCCCATCATCTTGTAATTAATAATTATCTAGTTGTAGAAGAAATAGACAACATGAAGTGTTTATAAAGTAATGTACGTTTTGACAGAATTCTGAGTAGCAAAATTAAATAAGTAGAGTTATTTAGTTTTCCTAGAACTTTGTTAGTTTTATGATAGAATTTGTAATTTGAAAACAAATTAA